TCACTCATTTTGTCCAATTGTTATAAAAATCCAAAAAGGTAAAACACAAATTCAGATATGATGGCAGCAGACAAAAGACAGCAGAGATTATGTAGGTGGAGTTAACGCCTGTCAATCAAACGATCGGCCATACTAAGAATCGGTGAAAATGGATTTCAATCCCATTTCTAGTAAAAAATTACACTGGTGATAACTATGTTCAGAATAAAGTAATTTGACTGAAATTTTCAATATATTCTTCTTTCATCATCTATTTTTTAACTGTTATAGCAAGAATGGCTAACTCCTTATAAAAATCTCCCATAATGTATCGTTAATGGGCTGTTACTCAGTTTTTATGGGGGTGGTGGTGGATGATCGAATAGTTAGTGTGTGCGCGCTGTATCATAAGGGTTTATCATCTAGTCAACTGGCGTTGTTTTGATTCTCGGTCATAAGTGGCAAGGAGTTGGGTCACCTGTCCAAACTCGTGGGTTTTCTCCAGGTCCTCCTGTTTCCTCTTACTGCTAAAAGACCCCTACGCGCAAGCGAATTATTGAAATAAAATTGAACCATATGTTAGTGCCGAAATGACCTAGTTTGTATCGAGTGGATGTTAAACTCTCTCTCTCGCTCTCCCTCTCTCTCTCTGTTTTTATACTCCCACTTTGAATTTCAGCAATTTCCGTTAATTACTTCTACAGTTATTACCCTTGTTTCACTTTGTTGAACGTTGTAAAAGCTCTAACAACAAAAGTTATCATTCAATCTGTATGAAATTTATATGCATCACTTATATTAGTAACACACTGAAACCTATTGAATTTCAGCAATTTCCGTTAATTACGTCTTAGAGTTATGGCCCTTGTTTCATTTTGTTTCACCTTGTGCACACTTAAACAACAATAGTAATCAGCCGATCTGTATGGAATTTATATGCATCATTCAAATTAGTGAAACAAAGAAGCCCAATAAATTTTAGCCATTTCCAAATGACTTCTAGAGTTATGGCCCATGTTTCACTTTGTTGGACCTTGTGAATGCTATAGACTGACAAATATTATCATTCCATCTGTTTGAAATTTATATGCATCATTTAGTGAAACGAAGGAGTCTATTTAATTTCAGCAATTTCCATCGATTACCTCTACACTTATGTCTCTTGTATAACAATGTGAATGCCCGACCCTCGAACAACAAATGTTAAGGCCCTTGTTTCCAATTTTAGAACTTTGTGAACCCTCATACGACGAAAATTATAATCTGATCTGTATGAAATTGTCTTGTAAATGCCACCCATTACCTGCAAAAGAAAAATATGCAACAACTCTTGTCTACTGCTCAGGCGATTTAATTAGCTGCTGTGGGTGTATGTTTCATTATCTGGCAACCTATCTTTTGTGTCTTGTAAAAATACATCCTCACGAAAGTATTTATAGGGTAGTTATTTCCAATAAAGGTATGACAAATTTGCTATAAGTAGAGACGCCCAATCTTAATAGAACAAGCCAACAGTGAGGCTGATGTCCCCCGCCGAAATCCCAAAATAAATAGATGACACATTAATTAATCGCACATTTATTTTTTTCAAAAGTATCGAGCAATCAAATTATACACTAAGTTTCAGCACTCTCTATCAGATAGAATCAAAGTTATCTTGTCCCAAAGCATCGACCAATGTTAATAATTGAACTCAGCCATGACATGACAGCAGAAAATACTCATTATCAAACTTAGTCAAGGTAATGATATAATAAAGCTATACACCAAGTGTCCTCACTCTCACTTAATTAGATCTAAAGTTATCGTGTCCCAAAGCATCAACCAATCAAATTGCTTATCCCTGCTTACTCTAAGCAAAAAATTCTCATCTTCACACTCCATCAAGGCATTCACCTAATAGCCACCTATGCCAAGTGTGAACATTCTAACTCAACTAGAATGAGAGTTATTGTGTTCTAAAGTCTCGACCAATCAAATTGCTTATCTCTGCTTAACCTAAGCACAAAATGCTCATCTTCGAACTCCATCAAGACATTAACCTAATAAACACCTACACCAAGTTTGAACATTCTAGCTCAATTAGAAAAGGAGTTAATGTGTTCCAAAGTCTCGGCCAATCAAATTGCTTATCGCTCTGCTTACCCTAAGCAGAAAATGCTCATTATCGAGACTTAGTCAAGGTATTGATATAATAAAGCTATACACCAAGTGTCCTCACTCTCCCTTTTAATTAGAACTAAAGTTATCAGGTCCCAAAGCATCAACCAATCAAATTGCTTATCTCTGCTTACCCTAAGTGGAAAATGCTCATCTTCGAACTCCATCAAGGCATTGACCTAATCAACACATACACCAAGTTTGAACATTCTAGCTCAATTAGGAAGAGAGTTATCGTGCCCCAAAGTATCAACCAATCAAATTGCTTATCTCTGCTTACCCTAAGCAGAAAATGCTCATCTTCGAACTCCATCAAGGCATTGACCTAATAAACACATACACCAAGTTTGAACATTCTAGCTCAATTAAAAGTTATCGTGTCCCAAAGCTTCAACCAATCAAATTGCTTATCTCTGCTTACCCTAAGCGGAAAATGCTCATCTTCGAACTCCATCAAGGCATTGACCTAATAAACACATACACCAAGTTTGAACATTCTAGCCCAATTAGGAAGAGAGTTATCGTGTCCCAAAGCATCAACCAATCAAATTGCTTATCTCTGCTTACCCTAAGCGGAAAATGCTCATCTTCGAACTCCATCAAGGCATTGACCTAATAAACACATACACCAAGTTTGAACATTCTAGCTCAATTAGGAAGAGAGTTATTGTGTCCCAAAAAGTGTGACGGACAGACAGACGGACAGACAGACAGACAGACAGACGGACGAACCCATTTTAATAGTCCCCTGCTTTCTTCGAAAGGCGGGGGACAAAAATACTGGATACCCTGAAAAACATCTTAAGGAGCAGTTGTTATTTCTTAATCAAATGGTTAAGCGGTTTTTGGAACATTAAGGGATTTACATGTACAACAGACCCTGCAATTAAACAGTGGAAAAAGAAATTGGCAGAAGAGAATCCAAGATTTTACTAAGGGTTCAATATGTATGGTAAATGGACAGTAAGTGACGACAAATACATTCTAAAAATGGTCCCTCCCTTTAAACAAGTTACGGGATAAATAGATTTTTTATATTGTGAGGTAATTTCCCTGCGAATACAGAGTTTTGAGAAGGATTTGAAGCAAATTTTTGATAGATTAATTAGTTTGAATATGTTTCTAGCCCATATATATCATCAAATCACCCAGTCTGTACATAGGAAGGCATCTTTAATTGTAGATGCTTCCATTTGGCAACCCTCATTTGCTTTTAAAAGAATTTGAGACTGCTCAGTCTGGCAGCCTATTTTTAATGTCAGCAGGAAAATGATAAAAATTATTGTGGAATGATTGCCATTTCAATGAAGCATTTATTTTTAAAATGTTAATGGAAATATAATTATACCGTGAATCCCAATAATATTGGTGTTCCTTAAAACATTGCATGACATTGGTGCCAGCCATACAATAATTCACCTTGTCTCAGTCATTGTTATTCAAAAGAATTACTTCATGATTCTAAAGTACAACAAAATTGTTGGAAATATATGTAAATGATAAGTGGTATCAGGTATTGTAGAAAGCATACCCTGCCTTACACAATTAAAGTGTGCTACAAAGAGAAGGAATACCCTATATATAAGTGTCAACATATTACATTTTTTCTTCATAGAAAATTCTTGTATATTTTTAAGTCTTCTGTGACCCTCACAGCAGTTGTTTCCAGGAAAATTTCTTAACACTTTCCTTTTATGAATATGGACGTTTTAAGAAATGAATTTGGTCCGTTCTTGCAAAAAAATGAATCAGCATGTGAGACCTGTCTACAAATATAGCTATCTTAATCATGAGACCTGAAGAGTCATTTGTTTAGGTGTGGAGAATTTGTTTTGTAACAACGATGTACATGTAGGTTCAGTTCAGACGTTGGTTGTGGACTTTTGTATGAAGCTTTGATGATATTGTTAAGATGTTGGCTGTAATTTCATCATATTGATGTAACTGCCCTAGAGGTGTAGATCAGCCCTACTTGACATTTTCCTTGACTTTTAGATATATTTATGCTATGACATTTCACTACCTTCATTCTGCTTACTTTTATATCGAGACTGTCTTCGCACAATTAAATAACTGAAATAACCAATTAATTTTAGACTTGTGCTTAAAAGTACACATGTACATGTACGGATAGCATTTTATAGATATTGACTTTCTCCTTTAGATTAGAAAGAGGCAAACATTGTTTATTTTTAACTTTTAAATTATTTGCATCACAGTGTTATAGCGGGTGGCTGATAGTGAACAACATCCTCCAAAAATGACGAAATACCTAAAAAAAAAAGTGAAACTGATAAAGATGCAGGTGTGACACTTTCAAGAATAATCGAAGAAGGCGTTAAACATGTATTTATTTCTTTGAAGGCCTTCAAATGATATTCATAGGTTTGGGAAAACATTTTAAGTATTTGTAACCACATACGTCAGATTTATAGGTACGAAAAAAAAATTCAGATTGTCATGCAGTCAATTCAATTATAATGTCACTCTCACAGGATACTAATTGTCTTTGACAAAAACTGTAATTGAAAGAGGATTTCTGTTTTATATTCATTTTTCATTGAGATATGACGTGACTACTCTTTTCACCGTTGAACTGTTAATAAAGAATCAATTATTAATCTAGTAATTTCCTAGTTTCAGTGTAATATTGGCCCAATAGGAGCGGTTATTTAATGCTTCTGTTGGAATTTGCCGATCAAAAGGGAATTTGTAGCGATATTTTTCAGGTTATGTCTGGTTATGCCTGTTGAATTCTCATTTAATTATGTGGTGTATATTACTCAAATTACTTTTATATGAATATCAAATCATATCCACAAATATGTACCTGTATTTATGTATTTTTTATTTCTTTTCAGGGCAAAATATGAACATTAGTTTTGTACTAAAACAGATTTAAAAAATAAAATTGTAACAGCTCCTATATTTTAAAGGTAAGCTCATTTAGCTATAAGTATAGAGATACATGTGTGTATCATGCATGATGCAAGCCATGCTTCCTCTTATTTAGAACACTGGACACAACTTCTTTTCTTGTAAATGCTCCACAAGATTTTAGAGGTAATGTTTTCAAACTCACAGAGTTATTGCCGCTGTCATCGAAACTTCAGACTCTCCTTTCAATTTATGTTAAGTTATTGCCCTTGACTGTGAATAAGCTACTCATATTTGGTACCTGGCAGCACTATATTACCCTTGTCATTAATACATTTTAATATTTCACATAGTAAGATTTTTCTTTTAGATTTTAAAAAAAGTCTTGCCTTGCATGCATTCTTCAACTAGTAATAAAGAGACAACTTTATAAACACTTATGTATTAGAAAAGTACATTACTACACAAAGAGAAACCAAAATGAATGATATTGGTATAACACAGCAAATGTTGGTTTTGAAAACATTGAAATGTTTGAGGCTTTTTACTGAAAGGTTTTAGAGTAAGGGTGATAGTATGAAATATCTTTATATTCATAAGAACGTAGATAGTACACATAGGTATATACTTATAGATTAAGGATCAAATGTATTAAAGACATAATAGTATATTATAACATTATAGCTCAATATTTCTTATCAAAAATGTGTTGACACTTTGCCAGAAATATTTGTCATTTGAATTTCCATAACTATTTCATGACAAGTAACAACTTTACCATTGCAGTTTATGTACGTCTTTGCGTCTGTCAATTTGTCCGTTTAGAAAGGGAAGTTATTTCTTTGTTTAGTGGAGAATTTATTATGATTGTCTTCACATGAAAGAGAACAGGTATGTCGTGTCTTGATGATTTTATAGCTGGTTAAAGAGGCATTTAGTCTTGTCACATAAATTAGATGGGGAGACCATTGTCATACAGCTTTTGATGTTTAAATACATATATTTTATTTTATAAGTACTGCCAGTAATTTTATACATTTTAGACACAATTTTGTTTAGTTTGACTACTGGTGGTAATTTGCTGTAAAATAGTGGCTCTGTTGTTAAAACCCCAACTTTTCATCTATAGGGCAAGGATTTAGTAACTCATCAAGACATTGTTGAAAAGTTTACCTCGTCAGGAGCAAAAAGTGTGCCCTTAGGTATCTCTCAGGAATATTATATTGAACTTTAATATATAAATGAAAGACTATTATTGTTGATCTATCTCTAATAGATAACAGTGGGTTTTCCTGTATTTTCAGTTTTCTCCTTCAGCAATGATCAACTTATTTGCAATGATATCCTTTTGAGTTTCGCTACAATTATTAATGAGAAAATCTGTACAATTATACTGGTAAATCATAGAAATGTTTCTTATCATAAGTGATTGAAAGCATAAAATATTTTATCTTATCTAAATCTTGTAGATATGATCTTTATTGTCAGTAGTATTTATAAATTGTTTGTGGTAGATTAGTAGCATGCATTATTGCTGTGAATATTTGAGTTGACTTTTAACCCTTTTTATTGATACATGATTTTTATATTGACTTTATAAAATGGGACTATGATTTTTATATTGACTTTATAAAATGGGACTGTTTTGCTATCTGCAATTGTGTGAATTTAGTTGTTCAGAATTTTGAGTGGCAATATTTCAAAAGGGAGAAAGCAATTTGTTCAAGACGCACATTGTAGTTACTTGTTTTTCTTGTTAAACAAGTTTTTCAGTTTTATAATATACATAATAGGACATCTATTTCCTGTACAAATTTAAAAAATGTCAAAGGTGACAAGAACGTTGGTTTATTGTCATTATAAATGGGATTCCAAACTGTGAGGATGATAAGAAACTAAGCCCACTTCATAGTCAATAAAATGTTTCATCTTATACACTTGTATATCATAAAGTTGTGTTATTATGAACACAAAGAAGAATATTAACACTTAATTACACCTTTAATAACTTATATACAAAGACATACATTAATAATAACATGATTGAATGGGTATATGTATACATATGTACATACATCTTGAATACACTTCATACAGTTTCTTAAATAAAACTAACTGATCCATGGTGATTTATTATTAAATATCCATAATTTATGAGCTTTTGTTGAAACTGTAGGTTGTTGATGTCAATATGTTGCTTACTTTAATAGGTTGGTTTAGAGTACTGAATGTTATAGAACTTCCTTAAGAGGCAGTCATTCATGCTATTTCTGCTTCATCAAGCAGAAATAAGTGTTGAATTATCTTCAATGATGACAGAAATAGATAAAAGCCATTGAATAATTACACTAAGTATACCAATCAGATACAATTCTATAACAAGAATGGCCGTTAATATCCCAGAACCTTTAGTTAAAGTAGACCGACTGCCCTGGAAATCCTCACATAATGGAAGAGATATCAGCCATTAAATTCAACCAAACAAATTCTCAGGCCGAATAAAATGGTAGCTGAGAATTTGTAGGTCAAAATTCCTATTGTCAGGTGTCACATCTAGTTTTCACTGTCTGATAGGCATGATAATGAAAAGGGATCTAAAGGCAGAAGTCTGTAATAAACTGTAAGTTGTTGCAATCGGTCCACACAGATTATCCAACAGTTAACAAGCAACCACTACCCAATAGTATAAGGGGCTGTTAAGTGTCACTCCAGATTGTTATCCCTAGCTAAAATGGTTTACTTTTAATTAGAACTGAAGTGGCGTTATGAGGAATGTTTTTTCTGAATTATATTTTTCCAAAATGAGATGTTTTATGTTTGTGTGATGGAGTAGCTGTCGTTTTTGTTGCTTTTCAACAAGGTAAGTAAATATTACCGACTGCTCTGATATCACTTGTTTTCATGGGTCAACCATAAGATGTGACCTTCGTTATATGGTAGTTGAAACCATTGTATCATTTCACATACATTTTACTTTTGAGGTTTGATCTGTAAGTAAATTACTATTCTACATCATTTCTTACAAAAATGATATTGTGTGGTTCTCATCTGATTTTTTTTGGGGGAATTTTTAAATACATTTCAATTCTATGGTTCAGATTATAATATTGGGTTGATCTTTGCGAGGACATTTCTGTTTTACATCCTTTTTTAATTAATTAGAAGAAGTTTTATTGTTGAAAGGGTGTTTTTTTTTATGTGAAATTTTTAAATACATTTTAATTCTAAGGCTCTGGCTATAATATAAAGTTGATCTTTGTGAGGACATTTCTGTTTCACATCCGTTCCAAATGAATTTAAAAAAGATTTATTATTTGTGTAGGTGTCTTTTATATGTATTTAAGCACAGATTCCACAATATTTATGTTCGTAATGTCAAAGATGGTTTAAAAGAGTTACAAGTAAGAATGATTTATTTTGTTGTTGAGTTAAGACCATCAAATTAAAATGCAAATCTTTAATATGTTTCTGTTTTACAATTATTTTGACAGATCAAATTTAAATCATGTTAGAAAACTGAATAGCTATCGAAAGACAAATTAGGAAACAGAACACTGTTCAAAGTGTGAAGGGTTACTGAAAAGGATTGACATACAAACTGCATTGCTTTAATTGTTGGTGACAGTTATAGACCATTCCTGTTTCAAATTACACACTAAATTTCTTTAACATTTAAAAATGTGTGATTGGAGGAGCTTTTCCTTTGCTTAAATCTGAACCCTCACATTGGCTAATCTTCATGTATTATTTAAAAGAAATTAGGTGTGAGTTGCATTTGTCTTCTGCTAATAGTATTGATTCTATGTATTGACACCCTTTTGAACATCTGCTTTAATAGCCCTGATTTTTCTTGTCTGTGTAACAAACCAAATTCTGGTTAAAAACATTAAATCATTTAGAAGTTGTAAATGGCCAAACATGATAATGTACAGAGAATCCATTTAAGATGTTATGCAAATTTAATTTCATGGGAAGCACAGTGGCTCAGGTAGTATAGTGATGTCTCACTAGCCAGGAGGCCCAAGGTTCAACCTTCAGTTCCTTAGGATTTTCCTGCCAGGTTTCTTCGGACAAAGAGAACTACTGTGTATACTCTGACAATTGGTAATGGAAATATGATAAAGCCATGGTGCCGCTGTCAGGGCCAAAATTCCCTCATAATAATAGCACACTGCATTGTGTATACCTGTGTTCATTAGCCCAGTTGATGTAAAAAGGTAGGAAGCTAAACCCATGTTCATGTTAATTTTTTTATACAGTACTATTTTGCTCAATCGGTATAGTTATGAAGGCTATATTTCTAGAAATCTGTTGTATTTTATGGATCTTTAAATGGTCTGATGGTGATACAGGAATCCAATGAGTTATAGATTTAGTATGTCTACCTGTACATGGCATTTATTTTCTGACACAGATGTCATTTTTGTTTTATGTTTAACATCAGAATCTGTCTATTTTCTAAGGATATTTTACATTCCAACCATTTGAATTATGGGAAATTATACTTTTTCATGCATGCACTAGACCAGATTTGCATTGTTTCCATTTCGTGAACATGATGATATCATTTTTTATTTTGAATTATATGGAGAAATATGTCATTCTGCAATACATGATTTCAGATTTATCATTTTAATATGACGTTTTGCAATTTAAAAGTCTGTGTTGTCTTTTTTTCTGAAAAACATCATGTAAAAAGATTTACAAAATGTCATCCAGCAGTGTTTTACAAGAGACAGAGCTCAATCTTTGTTGCTCTTTCACATTTCATCTAACACTGTCAGGAATAATGTCTGCATGCAAGCCAAGAAAAGCATTGCAATATGATGGATAGAATTTAAATGACATACAAACAAGTCTGGCTATGGAACTTGACTTTTCAACTAGAATGTCCTTACTTCAGCATGAATTAAATTTTCAGTATGTTAGTCCCAAGAATGAATTAACTATGTTTTGTTAAACCCTATCCTGTATTTGTCTGCTCAAACGCATACCTCATTGTTTTGGGAAGCTTCATTTCTAGATTATCAGGAAAGTCTATTTAGGAATTCAACATGGT